AGCATGGCTGGCTGGGGAATTCTGGGAGTTGAAGTCCACTCATCTTAAAGTGGCCAAGTTTGGACAACACCGTCATAGACCAAAGGTTCTCCCTGTAGTTATCTATCAGGTGCAGTTGTACTGAAAGAGGAAAAGATGGTCACAAACTTAAATAACTTTGCAAGGCTTTGTCATGATAGCTTTGTCATGATAGCTACAATACTGTCTCCAGGATCCAGAGGCAATGGGCTCTGTTGCTAGGAAAGAGGAGCTAACAGCAGCCCCATTGATGGTTATGGGGTTCTGACTGACCACTTATGGGCTTTTATCCAGCAAGGTCTTTTGATAGACCGACTAATAGATATTGTACTGTATCTTTCAATTTTAACTCATATTTATAGATATTTCCAATGTTCTAAATGAAACTCTTTATAAATGTTTTCTGTATAAAATGGAATAAGTAGGTTATTCGCTTTCTGCATTTTAAGGCAAAATTAATTATTTCCCCTTTCTGAGTATTTCTGATTTTTAAAAAAAACTGCATGAACATTTGTATTTTCACAGCTTGTCATGCCTCCTAACATTTGTATGCTTTCCCCTAATACATACTGTTTTGCAAGCAGCTCCCTGTAATATATACATATATTTTATAGTGTATGGTATTTTGTATAACTTATGCATAACTGTACAAATCTTTTCTTAAAGTATGTTTTATATACATTTTTAAAAAATCAGAGATCTACATTTCAAAAGTTGGAGAAGTGCCAGAACAAATGTATAACTGCATTCTGGTTTATGTTTTAGTTTGCAGAATGCAAATTGGATTGATAAATATTAAAATGAGAACCAAATAAATTTCTTCCCCATCCCCACTGAAAGCATGGAAATGATTGCATTGGCAAAGAGTAAAACCAAAAACATGTACGCATTTCCGACATCAGGGTAATACATATGCTGAGGAGGAAAGCAAGGAAAAAAAGACACTTGAAGAGTTTAAATTTACACTTCAAGTGTCTTTTTTCCTTCCTCATCTACCTAATAAAGAAATAAATACAGCATACGTTGTGACATTATGGAATTGTGTATTACCAATCTCAGCTAAGCATCATGGTATTGCTTCAGGTGCTCCATTGAACATGGAAAGTAAGAAGGGGGAAAAGAAACATGGAGGTGGAACAACTATGTATTTCACGTGGCAGAGGATTGCAGATGGATTAGTTTCCTTTGGGTTTTTTCTTTAGTAAATAGCACAAGGGGAAAGTAGCTATTAAAAACAATGCTACGGAGTGAATCAGGGGTTCTGTTCACACTGAACCAGAAACTAACCGAACCATATGTAAGCTTAGCATGTTGACCAAATGCAATCAGGTGAACATGTTGAGCCATAACATCAACCCCCAAAATTAACCCAGTAAAAATAGTTAAGGGTAAGAGAAGTCACTTGTGCAAATGCTGCTGGAAACTAGAATTTACTTGGAAACTCTCTAGCCCGTTTAATGCAATGATTTCAATTCTTTTTCAAAAGAGAAGAGGAAAATAGAGGAAAGTAGTATCTTAAACCTCTGCTTTCCTTCCACTGTTCAGAAAGAGTTGGTAGTCTCATACAGGTAGTCCTTGCTTAGCGACTCCCTGTTTAGCAACAGTTCAAAGTTACAATGGTACTGAAAAAGTAACTTTACAACTGGTCTTTGCACTTATGACCATTTGTAGCATTCCTGCAGTCACATGATTGATATTTGGGTGCTTTGCAACCAGCGGATATTTACAAAGGTCACATGACTGCCATTTGCACGTTTCACAGCCAGCTTCCAACTAGCAGAGTCAATGGAGAAGCTGGCAGTAGAATTGCAAGTCATGCTTACGTGATGTCTCGCTTAATGACCATGTTGCTTATTGACAGAGTTGCTGGTCCCAATTGTGGTTGTTAAGCGAGGACTACCTGTATTCATAATGATTAGGCTACCTTCCCTGTGCTCCCTATCCAGTATACAGCCACCTTCTAAGTTTTGCTCCTAGCAATAAGGCAGAGAATCAGATAGTAATCCGACTTTTATGGCACGACAGGATCTTGAAGAGGTGAAGAGACTAGCTGGTTGCATGAGCCAGTTGAAATGGAAGGGATTCTGATCTTTATAAAACTACCGTCTCCACAGAAAGGGCTGCTGTGGTGGGGTGAAGAGGACTGAATCAAAGTAAACCTAGGGGGCTCATGAAGAAAAGGTAGTCCAATAAGATTTCCTTATCCAGAAAAATGTGTAGCACACCTGCTCTTAATTATACCTCAAGATGATGTGGAAATGTGTTCCTTTGTATATTTGCCAGGCTTTTTATTTACTCGAGCATTTATTTTTTCCCTGCCAATACCAATAAACTTTCCCTTCTTTCTACCTCCATGCCTTCATCCTATTTTTGCTTCCTTATTTTCTTTTGGGGAAATGTCAACAAAATATCTGCCCAAAGTTGATAGTTTTTCTTAGGGAAAAAAATCCTGTTTTATTTGCATTTCAGCAGAATAATCAGCAAGATTTTGGTGCAGCCCCTTAGCCATGCTTGTTTTTCCCATTCTTTCCCATCTGCGGAAATGCATTTAGGTTCAGGTTTTTATCTTTATTCTCTGTCCTCAGTAAAGAAGAAGTTTTTGCTTGGATTTATTTCAGAATATTTTCACTCTCAGAAAATTAGGGAGGAAAAGTAAAGTGCATAAAGTTAGATTAATTTAAGTTGATTTCACTTGAGCCAGTAGCTTTTATTAGAAAATTCAGTTCAATTGGGCAACACTCATTCTAACTGGGGAGAACAAATAATGCTAACCGATCTTTTCGTTCAGCATTGTTCTCACCGAAGCTCTGTTTTTAAATACATAATATGTACATTTCTTAAAATCTGTACAATAAAGAAAAAATCTCATTTCTAATGTGATACTTTGAGATCTTGCCATAGAAGCTGACATTTTAAATTTAAATCTGAGAGTAGAATTGTGCTATGATGCCAGGTTTATAATAAGTCTGTTGCTATGGACAATAGGTCAGTTTAGATGTACTCTATTGCACTTGTTAGATTTCTCAAAGGAAAGTAAACCAAAAATCTGAAACTCCACATTTAACATTATACCTCCCCCTCTATTATTATTTAAATGGCTATTCCTCCATTTTTATGAACATGTATTTACAATGGTAACATTTGCTTGCAATACAAAATTCAGTGTAACATATAGGTTTCATAGTTATAAGTCCATATATGAAGCAGAATGTGTCGATTTGTGGAAGGTAATACTAACTTTATACTTCATTACTGTGGACTAATATTGGCATTTTCTCTTTTCCCAATTATATCTGTTCACATCCATGTATCTGTCTGTACATGGCAAAATTAAACACTTTAAATTAAATTAAATTAAAGTACCATTTTAAGTGAAAAATACTTAAATTCCTGCTTAATATACTACAGTTTAATGGGATTTCAGGTGTTCATTCCTGAAATGATTGATTATGTGCCAAAATTTTCTAGTTTTTTTACACATCCATCAAGCATGATAAAATGATCTTCCTTGTTGTTCACATTTCCAGCATAAATTTGAAGTGCCTTTATACAGTCTAGACAATTTCTGTAGTGACATATACTAACGGTACATCATTTTATAAAAGTTCTCTTTAAGATTATAACATAGTGTAAATTTCAGTCTTTTCAACCACATATTTTCCCATTGTTTGATCTGTATGTTATAGCCAACATTTGTAGCCATTTTATCATACATTCTTTCCCCTGTTCTTCTGTTTCAAATTTCAGTAAAAGTTTATACATTTTAGCAATTACATGTTCATCATTTGTACACAATTCTATTTCAAAATCACTATTACAGTGTTCAATACCATAAACTCTTTTGTCCAATTTAAATCTTTCTGATAACTATAAATAAGAAAACCATTGGCAGCTATATCCCTCTGCCACCAATTGTTCTCTTGATTTTATTTTGTATTACCCTTGACAAAATCCTAGTATCTCACAATAAGTTACCTATTTGTGTTAGCCTATTCTTTCTCATCTATAAAATGCTTCTTGTGCTGAGAGCCACAAAGGTATTTTTGGATACAACCTGAGTTTGTATCTGTTCCATGTTTTCAATTTGGCACATCTAACATAATGATTATTAAAATCCACATTAACCTTGACTTTATCATACCACAAATATCCATGCCACCCAGATCTCAGGTTGTGCCCTTCTTACTCCAAAAGCCTTCTATTTCTCAGCAGCACCCACTCTTTCATCCAAACCAAATAGCAAGCTGCAAAATAGAGTTTCAAATCAGGTAGACCAAATCCTCCTTTTTCCTTTGCATCTTGTAACATATTATATTTAATTTGTGGGGATTTTTCCCCTTGCCACACAAACTCTAGGTATATCCTTTTGCCACTGTTTAAATGGTGCATCAGTTGTCAAAACAGGTATTGTCTGAAAC